ATTACATAAAATGAACCAGGGAAATAAAATAACCGGGAGGAATAAAAAAAAATGTTATTAATTTATTTAACGGTAAAAATAAAACATTAAAAATGAAACCTCGCCCTCGTGTGTTCTCCCATAATATTTTTTATTTCATTCCAATTTCTGGACTTATTCCCGGAATAATTAAGTGAAAAATAGTTAATTAGTGGGGATGGCAATTATTCCACTTGGAGAATTAATCTAGTGCAAATGAGGCGGGAAAAATAATGGACTCTCGGGAATTGATTCTGAAAACATTTTGGGTATCGATATATATCGAGGTCTTTGGCGGGTGCTAAGTGGATGCGTGATTGATTTAATGATTTAATTACGTCGGGATACGCATGAGTAGCGCATGTTCTGCATAATCTCTGGTAAAAGCCATAGAGGATTGGCTTCTCCAGGACGCAATGCGCTATCTGGCAGCTGCCCAGAATCCACGACTGCTATGCACTAGGTACTATCGATATAACCAAACCCGCAATGCACGCGAGTTCTCTTCAGTTTGAAAAATTATTGCCCTGATAAATCGTCACGAAAAATATAAAAACAAAAACGAGAAATCATCCATTGTCAAATACATCATGACAATTGCTGATTTCACATGCCTTCAAGTGAAAAAAATGATGTTTTCAAATGACTCGATATAATTTCAAAGAATTTTTTTTTTTTTTGATGATTCAGCACGATTTAAAATTTCTTACTCCAATCTCTTTTTACTCCGAATTAACATGAAATTCATCGCTAAATGAAATCTCCTCTCCATGAAAACCGAGAGATAATGAAACCCTCGACATGTGCCGAGTTGATTTGGGATTCCCATTCGTTTGAAATTCAATCCGTGAACGTCGGGATTAATCCGGACTGTACAGAAAATTTCCGCAGATTCTCATAGAGAAAAAAAAACAATTCGCAAGTTTCTGCACTCAACTGCAATGAAAATTTTTCCGCAAAAAACTGACGAGAAAAAATCCAAGCGACTCTGATGCAATTGACTAATTGATCGCCGGGTGGATTTCATAGAGCTCTTTTACCTTTGATGATTTTTATGTCCCGACTGAAATGAAGTTTAGTCAATCGAATTAGGATGGGATGGAAATGGCGGTACACGAGGGAATGACACAGACGGTATTTCAGATCCATCTTGTTTCGACGCCGGGGCGGAGGCATGATAAAAGTGGTATGAGTTGATAAAAAAGTATTTAATTGAATTTTGGTACGAGACACTAGAAAATGGAGGAGACGATGGGGTTATTAAATTTCTCATCGCCCTATCCCGCTATTTTTCCCGCTATCCACCCTCCCCCATAATTTTCTAAAATAATTAACTGCAAGAAAAATAAAAACTCGCATTTTCCGTCAGAGGAATTTTCCTAATCTCTTCAGACAGGATCTCAAGCTATTTTATGAGAACAATGGAAAGCTAGCATGCGCGTTAATGAAACATCGCCGCATATTTTTTTTTTCGCGAGAAGATGAAAAAAATTCAAGCAATTCCTTCGGGAATTCCCCTGGGGCATCTCATGCGGGAAATATCCGCTCACTTGTGGTAACTTTTGGGGTTCACCAATGACAAGACTGAATATAGTATATATAGTATATATATATAGATCTGTCAACGCCTGGCGTTGAAATATTTATTTATTGACGGCATTAAAGTAATTAATAATGATTTTCCAAAAAAAATTGATTTGCCATTTTTTTACGATGCCAGTTTTGAGTCGATATCTCGGAATTGAGGGGACATACCGAATTTTCCGTATAAACATTTTTTACAGAAAAAGAGGAGAGCTACAAAAAAGATATCCATGAAAATATCGTTATCTCCCTTCAATCCCGAGATATCGGGTAATAATACCGGACTCGACTGCTGCACGTAAAAATATTAAAAATCTATTATTCCGCGTAAATATTACCGGGAAAAATGTTACAAGACGAGATATTGCGGGGTCATTATAGCTATAAAATAATCAATTATCATAATATTTTTAAAAATATTGCAAATGAAGGGATTACGATATAAATTATTTTGATAGATAATGTTCCATTGAAAATTCGAATTGCGTAAAGTGTTGGGTACTCGTCAAAGGTTCGGGAAGGCTTATCAATTTTTCACAATGAAAAAGTTTTCCCGAAAGAAGGAAAAACCCACGCGTATCTGTCTGATGGATGAGTGTGCAGTGATACAGAAACAGAAAGAATTTACATAATACAATTTCCGTTCGGTACACTCGTACATCTGTTACGATACTTTAACGTTTTCAAGAGGAAAAAAAAAAAATATTTACCTTGACCGAACTTGACGTGAATGTGCCTTCACGCGAAAGGCAGGATAGGCTGGATATGACCCAGTTTTCCTCTATTCTACACTCTTCCACAAGTAGCTAACCCAAATACTCGGTGCACCACTTCAGGGGCTTAGTTATCAGTACTCACGCCTCTAGAACATTTCTCTATTTGCACAGGTTTTTCTGCAACGTCTCAACCGATTTTTTCACTGACTCGAATAATAATCGATTAATTATGCTATAGGTATCAGGGTTTAGTTGGAATTATATTCGAGGTCGTTGCAGTAGGATAGTCTTGGAAAAGTTTAGTCATGATCTTTGGACGGTGTATAGTCTCTTTTGATTGATTGCGCTGTGGGAATAACTAGAGCGAAATTCAAAATTTTTGGAGAGGTATCAGGAGAGCATGAGAATCGAGGGGTTCACTGGAATTTTTTGATTTGAAAGTTTTGAAAAATATCGGGGGAACTGAAAATCGGGGAGGTATTCACTGAAAAAAAATATCTGAAAATGAAAATGAAGGACGTCTTCAAGGGAATTTTCGAATTCAAAATTTGTGAATAAATATTAGGAGAATATGAAAATTGGGGAGGTATTCACTGGAATTTTTAAATTCTAAATTTTTGAAAAATATCAGAACATGAAAATTGGGGAGGTATTCACTGAAAAAAAAATATCTGAACATGAAAATGAAGGATGTCTTCACGGGAATTTTCAAATTCAAAATTTTGGAAAAAATATCAGGAGAACATGAAAATGAAGGAGGTATTCACTGAAATTTTCAAATTCAAAATTTTTCAAAAATGTCACGCAAACCTGGATTTTCAGGAATTTATCGCGTAAACCGAATGACACCATTTATACTCCATTGATCTTCCCGCCGTTATCAGGAACTTTCGTGTATCATTTTTATCCGAAATTTATTTCTTCGAAAAAATGAGAGAATAACAAGCGACCGAAGTTTTGATGAATCACATGGGCAATTTAAACTTTGGAAAAGTGCAAATTTTCGGGACTCAAGTTATTACAGGTATCAATAAAACATCAACGAGATTTTCACATTTTGAATAACAAAATAGTTATCAAAGTTGAAAATATAATCTGCATTTCATGAATTCCCGAGTGGAAATTCATAAATATAAGTTTACTGCGAGATTGCTAGGACTGAGTCGAATATTTTTCGCGAAGTTTTGAGAGTATTACGGAAGTTACCTGGAATTATTGAAGAGCCGGGTAAAATGGGACCCTCCAGAAAAAACGGGTCTCCCCATGTGAGAGAAGATTACTGCAGGTTGATAATTCATCAAGATAAATCATAATTATCATTATCATTGTGATTATCAAAATTGAAATTTAATTCAAAGAACGTAAAAATAATCAATAAGAAAAATTATGAGCCGTGACCCGCTGACCCATTAAACATGCAATTTTTCCTGGAGAAAAAAAAAACACTGGAAGAATTACGGGCCTCGGAAATACTTGCATCTAAACTGAGAATGACCCTGCCACTGGATAATGTCCTTTGTCCCTTTAAAGCACATCCTCCCGTAAATAGGAGATGAATCCAGACATAAGTAGTTATTGAACGGTAAGACAAAGCTTCCATACAAAGACCTCTTAACCAAGTTTTTCTGTGCGGTGGCAGTTGCCAAGTCTGTCTTAAAGCTGATGAGCTCAAATAACCGGTGAGAAACCAAGACCCTTAGAAATTTATTGAAATTTCACCCCCAATGTCGCTTGAACCGTCAGTTATGAGAGTTTTCATTCGATTTTAATTGAAAGCCACTGATTGTTTCATTTATTTTGAAAATCCAGGAAAATTGGGGTTTTTGGATTGACTGATAATTGATTTTTAGATGAAAGCTTGAAGGCAGAGGCATTGGGAAAATTCAACAGAAAATGCAATTGCATTTTTAATCGTCAGTTATTGTTTCTTTTATTCTCGGAATATTTTGAAATTCCATTTTTCACGTTCAGTGATAATTGGTTTTTTAATGAATAACACTAACAATAATAAAGAGAATTGATTTTTTAATAGATTGAAAATTCGGGGAAGTTTCAATTGAATTTTACATGAATTTCCGCCATTTTCACGGGTTGACAGTGCAGTAACCCCTTGGAGAAATCCATAAAAAATATATATAATGGAAGAGAGGGTGAGATGTGAATGTTTCCCTCCCCTTTTTTATATTCTCGCCATTTTTTCCTCATTTCTAATAGAAATGTAGAGTCGGAGTAATTGATACCATGCTACGTGTTTAAATTTCATATTTAAATTGATAAACAATTAAACAACAATAAAGATCTGATTTCTGATACGTCAAACAATATCTGCACGAATCGCGAGTTATCAAAATAAATATTTTTCGGTACGGATATGAATTTCAAAAATGGCCATTTCTTAATCAAGAAAATTTTTCCGAAAAAATTATTTTTTTTTAATTAATTTTAATTAATCAAAGGTTACGGGTGAAGACTCAAGGATGAAGGATTAATGAAAAAATCCCCGAGTTTTTGGCTGGTGAAATAACTTAGCATCAAATTTCCCTATTGAAAAATTAATGAGGAAAAATCCAGCGGTAAAAACGTTCCAGCAATCCAGAGATAATCCAATTAAACGATTTCTGGGCCTTTCAGAGCTGTACGATAACCAGACTATCCCGTGGATTTGAGATTATCTCCTGAACAATGGGCGGCTGGATTGTGACCTCACTTGGAATAGTCCTGGGGATTGTCATCGTGGCTACTCTAGTTCTTTACAGAAGGTGTGTTAACCATCAATTCGAATTCCCCTAAAAAAATCCAATCCTAGGATCACCGGTAGACGACCAAAACCGAGCAATCCTCAATCGTCAATGCCTCAAAATCGGCTGAGTGAAAATTTCACCGCATGCAATAGTAATAATTGAAAATTCGACACGTGAAAATTTAACCCACATTCTCAGAGCAGTCTCCAACACAATTTTCAATAAACTGAAAAAAATTATTCATTAACTTCATTATTCATTATGTTAATTAGACCCGTTATAATATTGAATCCATATCCATTTTGTCACTTTAAAAAAAACGAGACGTGATTGATCGAAATGAATTGTTTGAGCTGCGAGATATTGACCATTGAAATTGCCCGGATTGTGAAAGCCAGGAATAATATTTCCACATGGAATAGACACTGCATTGGCTGGTCGTGGGGTGCTCGAAACATCTGGAGCGTTTGCGAGGAGTGGCGACAGCGGTTATCGTGGCTGTGGGCACCCCGAGAAGAGAAGGTATGTCCCTTTTTCGATAATTTATCTGACGTTCAACGCCGGCTCTGATCAAAGGGCTTGTCGATGTTTGCGTATCACGATAGGATATGATTGAAACGCTAGCCCCGGTGTTTGCCAGGTGGGTCTGGTGAAGGCACAGCATCCAACTGCCCAGACGATTCCAGGTCTTTATCGTCAGTCCGGCAATGCATCCCAGAATCTGCTGCACAGTGACAGTGATCTACGCTTGGATGCCCAGGGAGCATTTACCCGGTAAATATTCAAAAGATCAATACCCACGGGTTCAGCTATTTGTAAGAAGAGTAGTCCAAACAGTTACGCCGACTATCTCCACGTGAAATTATTTTTTTAAGGCCATTTTTTTTGCGGATTTTTTCAAAATTTAAACAAGATGATATTTTCAACAAAAAGTTGCCCTTTCTACCCGAGAGCGGAAAGTATTCACTTTACCCCGCTCATCCGGGAGAAAAGTGCGAACTTTCCGTGTAGGTGTGTTGGAAATATAATTTTCATCCCCATCACCAAAATCACGGACTCCATTCATCCACTGACCAATTCACCTCAGATTTGAAGCAGTAGACAGAGACCTGCACCCTCCCCTAGGAACCGGAAGTGCGATTCCTCCGCAGCCGCTGCGACCAGCACCCCAGCCAAGACCAACAGCACGACCGAGGCCCTCACCCCTGCAAGCACCAACAGCAGCAGATCATCTGCGTATGCAGCAATCAGGCCCCGGGCCATTAACTCCTCCCCCAATTCCACGAGCTCCGGGTTCTCACAGGAGCAATGGTCCCTCAGTCTTCTCCTTTCAGAATGAAGTACCAAAGACCTACAGCAACTACGGCAACACCAGCGATCAGCCACTCCTGCACTTCGACACGTACAAAACAACCACTGATAGCATTCAGCTGAGGCCCTACACCCGTCAGGATCCCACCCTCAATCACCACAACTCGCATTACGATAACATCAAGAGCCTAGAGGAGAGAGTCCAAGAGGCATACGTCAGCCGAATGAACCGGGACAGCGCATTCGCCCCATACGATCGCCAAGAATCACCATTCAGATATCTCGGATCATCCCACCACCAGGACAACGAGCTGACGATTGTCGAGGACAATAGATCAGTCTCCAGTTATCCAGGCTACGAGTTTATCCAGAAGAGCACTCAACAGGTGCGTCAGCACATCAGAAATGACTCCCGGGGTACATCAAGCAGCTTCAATCTCACCAGCTGCAACAATCCCACCACCCAGGCAATCATGGAGTCAATATATGGGCCCCAGGTCGTCACAACATTGCTCCAGAACACTCAGAACTACGGAAATGAAGTGCTGAGAAAACCAGAAACACCGCAGAATATTGAATTGACGGCATACCGCCACACCACTTTTCCAGATGAGTTGGCTTATGGTATGCATGCAAATACAAAAGCCCAGGGATTGCAGAGAGTATCTCAGTACATTCAAAGCCTGCCGGATCTACCCATGTATGAACCCATGAATGATCAACCAGATGATCAAGACGAGCCCATGTATTCACATCTGGAGGATACTTCCGATGGTGGAAACATTGTACCCAGTGGAAATGAGTTGACACCGAGTCCAGTACCACCACCTGCTCCTCCAGATCCTCCAAATCCTCTGGATTTACATCGCAAGAGTGAACCAACCGCTGGTGAGAGGATCTTCAATGCTCTCCGATCAGTAACGTCCCAGAGTTATATCGACGCATCCGAGTTTTATAAGTGAGTGTTTCTTTGTTTGGACGATATCATTTGGGATTTGTCCCTCAGGTCCAGCAATCTCTTTCGGACAAACTAGATCCACCCACACTCAACTGAAGTTTGGGTGTAATTGCCCGAGAAAATCCCACAACAATCTCTAACCGTTTAGCTATCCTCTATTCATTTAACTTACAGCTCGGTACTATCTACCGCACAACAAGTTCCCAAACTCACGTTCCCGGGTATGACGAGATCATCGATACAGCTTGATGATGCAAATACTTCGGATAGCTTGCAGGATGAAATGGCTGAGTACTACGGTGATGGTGAATCAACGGGACTTAATATTGATGGGTCGAGACGGGGATCTGACCTGTACAGTCCGGAACTCAATTTAAAAGCTCACCAGACTGCGCAGCAGGTACGACTTCAATCGTTTCGATTAACGACTGCCAAGAAACGGTTTAATTATAAAAGTTGGATTTGAGATTTTACGGGGGGAGGGGAATTATTGCCGAGGATGAAGGCTCAGGGAGTGTTCGAGGAGATTGAAATATTATCTTTGAGTTTTAAGGCTTTTGACGTACTTTCGAGGGGTAATCTGTTGGGAATATATCGCGGGTCTTTCCCCAAAAGGTCGTATCGCTTTTCTTTTTTCCGTTGGGAAATTTGGACCGGAAAAGGGAATAGATTCATTTTGAGATTGATTTTTTTTTTATTAAAAATTGGATTATTCAGTAATTAATTTCATGTAAATTCAGACTAGACAACCCTTTACGCGATTTTTGGTCCAAATTTCTAGAGTGGAATTGAAAAAAATTTGAGATGATTTGGAATTGAATTTTCCATTACTCGAAAAAAAAAATTAATAAAGGGACTTTTCATTTCGAATATTCCGAAGAAATAAGAATTCTCCAAATCTTCTTTCGGCTTTCGGCTTTGACTACAAAAAAATCTCATAAATGAATTCTCAAATGATTCAGAATCATCTGAAACGTCGGGATGTATTATTCCCTGAGGGAGAATTCTTTCGATTTTTGGCGTCGGCTTTCCCATTGAATTTTCGAAAATGGAAAATATTTTTTATCACCGCAGGTTTATAACAGCCTGCAAGACCCACCAGCTTCTCCGTTACTCCTAAAAGATCTTGATCAAGAGCCCTATCCATACATGTCTGATCCAAGCTTCACCAGAACTTCCGAGGTATCATCTCTTTCTCTCTGAACCAACATTTTTGCTACTGCTAAATTATTTTCACAATCATGTCTATTCCAGGACATTTTCAATAGCCTTGAACAAAGAAGAAAAAGCATGGAGAGGCTGAACGGCATTCACGAATTCGTGGAAATGGAAATAAATGATACGCAGAGGTGAGTCTCTCGAGGGCTATTAATGACGTTGATTGAGATGCTTAATTAGGGAATAATCTCGGCATTTTCCCCGCAGAAAGAGGAGCGCACACGATTGGTTCGCGGTCCTCGAGGAGGTGCACATGAAGAGACGACTGTCCCAGGTAGCACCAACCACATGAAAATATTTTCCCACTTAATCCAAAAATTATAACTGGCGTATATCTGGATGTAATGGACATATATTCCTGAATATATATTTTTTTCGTGTGGGCAATGAGTAATTTCCAGTAATTTGGGTGATAAGATTCATCTAAAAGCCGATATTTTTTGGGTTTTTGTCAGAGTATCGAGGATGCATTCAGTTGCTACACGAGTACGGAAATTGACGACGGAAATACAGGAAGCAGACGGGAGTCGCAGGGGCCAGAGCCGGAACCACCACCCGACGAGGCCAATTTGAAAAGGGCAATAAGCTGTGAGAGTGTTTGTTCAGATACCAGTGTCGTGCTTGGTGATATTGAGGATATTACTGTAGTTGGGCATATTTGCGTGGGTCTCGAGTATGAGAGATGGGGTGGACGTGGGGCTGATATCGAGGGTGATCTTGCAGCCAGTGTACTCGAAGCTAGGGACCTAATCACACCTGATGGCCAGCCTGCTCAGGATACATTAGTCAGGTGAGTAATAACTGGATGTAGCATCACCAATGAATTTTTCCTGTGGAATAGACTTAATTCACCAGTTACACCATTACCATTGGAGGTAATAAATTATTCAAACTCCAGGGTATGTCTGCTGCCAGATCGACAAACACATGTACAAACAAGACTCTACAGGGGTTCACCATCCCCAAGCTACCAAGAGAAATTTTTATTCCCTCTGGACGGTGGCCCCATAGGCAGAACATTGTTATTAGAGGTGTGCATCAATCCACATTTTCATGAGATTACACTTACACTTGAGCGTACAGCTCAACATGAATTCTCAATTCCCCACAGATATTTTCCGTCGACATTGGCATGGGTGGAGGAGTTTCCCTCCTGGGTGAAGCCTCATTGAAGTTGGGTCCAGCTGCTCGACCACCGGCCACAACTTGGTTACCTGTCGTTAGTCCAGCAATCCCAGTGCCTCATCTGGGTGAGCTGATGTTCTCTTTGAGTTATCTGCCGACTGCGGAGAGACTCACACTAGTCGTTGTTAAGGCGAGAAATCTTCGAGGAGCTGACGCTGTGCCTGGGGATTTCTATGTTAAGGTATTGAACTTGAAGAATTTTTAATTAATGATTTCATTGAAGATTTTAGCGTTGGTTAAACCAGAAGGGGTTATTTATTTGTTAATTGCTAATAAATTATTACACTGTGTGTAAATTTCAACCGTTACAATGCTTCCGTTCGGAATAAAAAACACTTGTAATGATAATTATTTTATATTGATCTGCAGGTTTATATGCTTCAGCAAGGAAAAAAGGTTCACAAGAAGAAGACGTCCTGCAAACGGGGGGAGAAAAGCCCTACGTTCAATGAAGCCATGATATTCAACGTTCCTGCACATGCCCTGCAGGTGCTGAAGATTATTCTCACTGATAAATATTGTGAAATGCATGATTGATTATTGTGTTCTAGACGATTCAATTGAGACTGACAGTAGCTGAGACAACTAACGACCAACTGACAAATTCCAAAGCTGAATCCATCGGTCATGTTATCATCGGTGCAACAGCAACAGGCAAGTCTTTGGCGCACTGGCGACAAATGCTTGCATCCTTGAGACATCCAGTTGTAATGTGGCATCCTCTCAGAAAATGAACAGCAGTAACAGAGTCTTACGAGACATCAGCTTCATTCAGTCTGTCGGAGGTGGGAATTTAGTCTTTACTTTGCGAATGGTTTTCCCTCTTTATTTGGGTCTCTGTGAATCCTTCGGAGTGAATATCGATTCGCAATCTGAAGTGGAGAAATCGGCAAAAATATGGCTAAACTCCTTCTTGAGGCACGCCAACACGTGGGTTTTAATAAATTTTTTCCAGTTGTAATTGTAGAATAATTGAAAATTTTGTTCCATGATTTTTTTTGGTAGAAATTCCACTAGTTCTTCAAAATTATTTGGTATTTTCTGGAAGCCTAGGTTTCCTAGGGACAATTGTTTTGTGCCTTGAGACTTCCCGGTGCAAAATTCACACATTTGTTACTAGGCACGGAAATCTGAGGAAAATTGCCGATGAATTTTGAGGCATGAGTGGCATTTGACGGATTTTCTTCTCGGAGTTCGGTTAAACGGTGCAGTGAATACCATCCAAACACATTTCCCCTGAAAGACTAATCCGACCTTTGAAATAAATTAATTCGACAAAAAAATTATAAACAATGAAAGAAAATTTATCCAGAAGACTTCCTCCAAAGCAATGCATTTTAAAATTACATTAAAATTTTTTTCTCAATCGCACAAAATATTCCACGTGAAATGCGTCAGAAGATGAGCATCTAAAAAGCTACCAGTGAATCCTCGTCGGGAAATATTAAAAAATTTTGAAATAAAACTCGAATTCTGCGCAGCGATTGGCCGAAATCCGAGTGCTAAAAATATTAATTTGAATTTTATTAATTATTCTGCTCACGGTGAAAATCCAGGAAGATGAAGAATAGATATCATGAGCGGATTTTGTGATACAGTATCAATTGTTCGGTGTTCCATTACGTATCGATCAATGTGTATCAAATAATAGTCTCTGACAACCATCAATTGCTCATCGTAACAGTGTGCCCGATCATAGATTTTTGCATAATCAATATGTCATGGAGTTACGATATTCAATACAATTGTCATTGTTGACAGACTGAAGTAGTCGAGTGTTACAATGCAATGCAGACTGCAGGAGAATAGTACAGTTATGAAACTCACGGTGTAAAACTCAAATTAAAATAACCAACGGTCAAAATTCGATATTGTCCGTGGTTAACTGAAGAAAAAAAATATCGTTCAATTTTTTTATTCGTATCATCATGCTTTGAGGCCCTTTGAGAATCCTATAGTCAGTACCTGTTACGTCTAGAACTTGAAGACAGATAAAGTCTACTCTTTCGTGTCCTGAGTTGCTCATTAAATTTGTTATAACTTTATGAGGAAAAATCGAGGCGAGTGATTCCCGTTCAATGTTTGGTAAGATGTAAATTAATGTTGTTGTTTCCAAGAGAAAAAATGTTAACGTTTGTACAGAGTTTATTAGCTATGTGATCTAACGTCAAAAGTCTTTCGTCATTTATCCGATATTTCGAAGACTTCCCCGCAGATTATTCTCATACCGATCGAGTGTTTCAGGGGCTAGTCCTTGATTGTTTCGTGGTCTCTTCTGAGGGTGTTCTACCCCTTTTTAGCGGAAATTACCGATTTTTTTTTTAGGTTTCTGACAAATTGTTGAGAGGGTTGACCCGGAAAATGTATTGTTTAATGCTTTTAAAAAAAGGAAAATTCATTGCACGTTCTTGATATTTTGGAAGTCTTTAAATAATGATGAAATGCAGGAATGGAATATTTTTCGGGTTAATTCCATCAACAATTTCTCAAAAAACCGGTAATTTTGGATGTGACGGCAGAACACCCTTAAGGAGTGATTGCCGGTACCTCATTTTTTTTTTTGGCCGGAAAATATTTCACTTCCCCCCGCTTGAAAAATAGGACGTGCCCCTCGGGCGGGAAAACCCAGACTTTCCGCCCTTGATGCACAATATATTAAACCAATTAAAATCAACTGAAATTAATGATTTAATTATCTCACGATATTCGATAATGAATAACCCCTCGATGACCCGAATAATCTGTAAAAGCAATTCCCTGAACTTGAAGATTTCGTGGAGAAAAAAAATTGAAAAATTCGCTGCATTATTTATGAGCCTTTCACCCCGCCTGATTATCCTTGATCTCGATAAATGCATTTCTGCATTTCCATGAGAGGGAATTAATTCACAGTTTGGGTAATGAAATGACCGGGGAATTTCTGGTATTTCGAGTGGAATCGAATGAAAAAATACGACAAGTGGTTCATACTGTATGTAGCCTTCCGAATTTGACAACCTACTACAACTACTTTTATACCTCTTCATACGCCACCCTAATATTAAATTATAAACATAATTCCCGATTAACTTTAACACGCATATGGATATGTCTACATATGCAAAATACCTTTAACTGTATTAGAACTTTAAATACAATATACAATACACTTTTTCATTAAAAATCTTTACAATTCATACGCTCGAGAAAATGTTCGACGTTTATGAGAAAATTAATGATACGATTTAATTAGAGCAGAAAAGCGTTTTTCAAAGATTAAAAATTCTAAAAGAAAATTACGTTGTACATTTACTGAATGTTCGGTGATATCTTGATTATTCATTATTTTCTAAATTCCATGAAAATCGATAAATCATGGAGAACGCCAGAATATTTAATCTACTATCGCAGATCACCTGATCAATGCTTTAATCATTATTCATAACGGTTATTAGGGCGCGACGCTGAATATTCGCGTGACATTATGCAAATTTGGTGGGAGTATTAATTTATATGGTAGCATGAATTTTCAGAAAATATTACGTACCGACAGTTCAGGTCTTTCAGCATAAAAAATTATTTTCAATTTTTCTGGGAGTCATTATGTCACTGAGAAAAAAAGTCGATCAGATATTTATGGACACCCTTAAATATTATAAGTACATAATATTATGTGACAAAATGAGATATTGATTTGAAAAATTCATGGAAAGTTTTACGATAGGGAAATAATTTTTTTATAACAATTATACGCATATATCTGTGAACTAAAAATCCAATATGTCACATACACCGCACATATATTATTAGTATATATATATTTTCCGCGAGGGACGCTTTCCGACGCTTTTTTTTTCTCAGTGCATTTTTTACTTCGTGTTACGTTCTCCTGTATTTTATTATTATATTTTATTTATAACTTCAGGTTATATTTAATTGTAAATTATTCTCTGGACTTTGTGCTGCCACTGTATAGCCGCGTGATAGAATTGTTTGGGATTAATGAAAATTGCACATCAATTGCACATAATTTTCTGTGAGAATATTTTTGCATCAACATAAATCGTAAGTTGGCAGTAGAAAATAGTGAGAGTATGAAAAGGACGGTTGGAATTGTTCACGATTATTTGAATGAAGATCGATAAAATTAAGCGGATTCATAGGCTTCAGCATGAACCATTATATGCGATTGAAAAAATACCAAAACCAAGTGCAAAAAAAAATTGAGAAACAATTGAAGAGTGATGACAATAATACACCCGAGGAAATCGTTTTATAATCCGAAGATTGTACGAGTAATTCCATCAGTATGCTTTGTAGAACGGCTTAGAAACCATAGAATTATTTGAGGCCTCGGCAGTGAGAAAAATTACTGGTAACCGAAAATTTCGCACCATGAGTTTGCAGTTACAACAATTTTTTGCAGTTTAAAAAAATTTTCTCTTTTGAAATTAATAGATTATCGAAGGTGCAAAGTTTTCACGCCAATTTTTTCAACTTCCGCACACGGAGAAAAATATTCAATAAAAATTACCGGTTTTGTCGTAATTCTGTAATATATTTTCCGTAATTCAACGGAGCTATCTCGTAATTTTTATTTGAAAAACCAGAATTTTTCTGCGGTATTCCCTGATTTTTATCTGAATTACCTGTGAAAAATAACGATAGGGTAATAAAAAAAAAAATATTTCTCTCCGTGCAGTCCCTCAATTGCTTTGTATATCGATTAATTTTCGTCCATCCATTCATGTACTGAACAATTTACGTTAAAAGATAACGTCCGTAATCATGTAATCCAACTCATATAACAATGCATAAAAAATACTATAATTTTTTAATTGTTTGATATTTTTGTTACGCCTCTCTGTGATATTATACGGGCCCATTCACACAACCCTGTACATTAAAACCATTAACTCTTATCATATCAGAGTGTAAATTATTTTCATAGATATATAAGATACAAATTGTCACACTAATAAAAAAATAAAATTACCGATTTGGCTCACTCTACACAACTTCTTCTCGGACTCAATTACAACTGTCGTTTACAAGACACGGAGTTGAAAATTATATTGATAAACTTAGATACGATAAATGGTAGAATAAAGGTTGAACTATTCTTTGTATATCGCGATATTGAATATATATGAATAAAATTTTTGAATGAGAGTGATGAGATGCGATTGCGATGTCTCGATATTGAGATATTAATTCATTGAACGTGTGACTAGTCCTCACAGTGAAATAGTGAAATGATGTTCCTCAAGGCAAAATGAACCTCTGAATACTTCAACTCGTTGAAGCTAATAAGCTAATCAACATTGAGATATCAATAATAAATAATATACTAAAGGTGCGCTGTTAGAAAATTCATCCCTTTGATCACCGATTTTTATTATTGAGTAATGAATTCAATTCAATTAAAAATAATGAAATAATTGAATTTATGAGGAAAAATGTCTTATATTTTATTTTAAGATTAATAATTTTTTAGATTAATTGGTGTTTGTTAGGAAAATGGGATGAGATGCAACTCGAATTTGGAAAAATCTAATTAAATTGTAATTTCCGTTATTTTTAATGTGAAGAAAACTCAGCGTTTATTTCGTCTACAGCAGAAAAATCGTGAATATAGAAAATTTTTCGATACTTATGGTTTTAATTCTCATTGTTATTAAATAATTTCTAACAGTGTGTCCACCTTGGCTTACGGTGTGCGCGTGAATTTCTATAATCTATAAAAAAACAGTCATGAAGTCATGAAGTGTACTCTGCCCATCCATATACCGTATCGTATTTCTATTGAACTGCAGCATAACTTGATGATGTAAGAATTACTAATGGTACAGAAAATTCTATATTGTATTACGAGAACATGGAATATTAATGATTACTGTGCGGATTTAATTGATAAATACATTGATGTATTTGTCGCACGCGCAAAATCCTTGTTAACTCTCGGTGCGGTTATACTCATTCATTTATATAAATAATGAAAATATTCAGAGAGATGAAATATATTTAAGTTGAAGACTGAAATAAATATTTTCCTATTTTCCACCCTTCCGTAAATTAAAAAAAAAGTAAAGGTATTTCATCAGTGTGTGTCGTAAAGTAACTTTTCCCACATGCTCCGTTCAAAAAGTGACTTTCCCGCACATTTCGAAAAAAAAAATTATGCGCATGTCGTGCGGGAAAGTGAATTTTGGCGTGTGGGATTATACAAAAAAAATGTTAACAACAAAAATTTATTACACAGCTGTTTAAGAGGTCAATCGTCGTCGGGAAAATTTGAATTTTTGAAGGTGGCGCCAGACAAGCCATGCGCTAAAAGCTGCGCATAGAACACTGGGAGCGGGGACGTGTGGGACTCATCTGGCATCACTGCACTGATCTCGTAGCCTGCGAGACACACCAAACTATCATATTTATTGCGTTTACTCCGAAAAGTCATGAAATTATGTGCATAACGTCCCACTGGAATTCATTCAACGTAAATTTTTGAAGCTTTACACCTTATCATGTGCTTTTGATCTTGGAATATCGGTCGACTGAGGATTAATTATTGCTCGTGGGTTTCGTTGGAGTCCCTGGGTTTAGGAATTCCGTTTATTGAACTCGACCAGGTGAGAAAAAACACTATTTTCAACTCGTAATTTGTTGGTTCAATGTCCCAACATTTTTCCATTTACAACCATTTTTTTGTTTTCCATTTAATTGGTGGACAATCGGAGTTATGGGGTCGAGATTGATTTTGAGTCTTAAAAACCAGAAGTGGGAGGAGACTTAAGAAAATTGTAGGTTAGACATTCGTTGATTGAATTCAATTGGAAATTCAAGAAATGAAATTCGAGTCCAGAAAATCGGTAATTTTTTTGGAAAATGTCAGGGCGTGTGGTTTTACAGAAAATCCGGATTTTGAAGAGAATCTAGGGCTTCGAAAAAAATCACTCATTTTATCGGGCTGATTGCTGGAGTAATCATGAAGTTGATATATCTGTTGAATCCCACATCCTCTCAACTGAAAAACACTGGAATAAAATTTTTCATTGCATAAACCATTTTATTAAAAATAAAACATTCCCTCGACAGAACTGTTCTTTAAAGACAGATTACAATAATAAATAATATACGATAAAATATCGGAAACATTTTGAAAAGTTTATGGTGCATTACTTTCGATTTTTATTTATATTTGTAGTCTTCTAGGATCAGAGGCCGAGATAATTGCAATTAATTTTTTTAGAATCAACGAAGTCAATTCCATACATTCTATTATCAATTAAATCTCTCAGGGATTTTTCTTGATCCTGAAATAATCAGAATTTCCCAAAATTATGGAGCATGGATGTTCGGTCCAAACTAGATTTTTCTGGAGAATATTTTTTTTCTCTAATTTTATTATAATGCAAAGTCGATTATCTTAATTTTTTATTCAGTAGATAACTATACGACAATGGTCGATTCAAGTGATCTGGACATACAGATTATGCAATTGAAGAAGTGTGAGATCATAAAAGAGGCACAGGTCAAAGCCCTCTGTGCCAAAGCACGAGAGATTCTCATTGAAGAGAGCAATGTCCAGAGAATTGACTCACCTGTCACTGTAAGTTTTCATTTCATAATAAAAAAAATCAAGAAGTATCAGCTGGAATAATCAATCGATGTGTGGATTTGATTGAAGGTCTGCGGAGACATCCACGGGCAGTTCTACGATCTAAAGGAATTATTCAAGGTCGGTGGAGATGTCCCAGAGACAAATTACCTCTTCATGGGGGACTTTGTCGACAGGGGATTCTACAGTGTTGAGACATTCTTACTTCTCCTTGCACTGAAGGTGAGTTATTATTTTTTATTTTCTCTGATAAATTGTCCTTGGAGTTGAAAAACTAGTTGCATTTATTATTAATTTATAATTTGTCTGGTGGAGAAGATTTGACAAGAATAATTAAAAAAAGTTCTGGGAATTTTTGTACCAGAAAATGAGACCTACAAAAAACGGAATTACAAAAATTTTGCCGTCTCTCATATGAAATGAAAATATTTATCCTTCCTTGAATCACACCTGAATTAAAAACTTCAATTAATATTTTAAAAAAGCCATTCGATGATGCATTTTTTTTCGTGTCGGCTGTGATTTCATCTTCCCAAATTTCTTGTTCCAGGTGCGGTATCCCGATCGAATAACATTAATTCGTGGCAACCACGAGTCTCGACAAATCACACAGGTCTACGGATTTTATGACGAGTGCCTGCGAAAATACGGCAGCATAACAGTCTGGCGATACTGCACTGAAATCTTCGACTATCTGTCATTATCAGCAATTATTGATGGAAAAATATTCTGCGTACACGGAGGCCTCTCTCCAAGCATCCAGACACTTGATCAAATTCGAACCATTGACAGGAAACAAGAGGTAAATTTCCCTCGATTATCGTTTATTAAAAAAACGAATATTTATTTTTTGAAGCCCCACATTGCAGAAATGAAATTTTCTGAAGATAAATAATTCCCCGAAACGAATGGATATTCGTTAAAAAATTTTTTTTTCTGCGGAGTGCATTTCTAGATGAATAAATTGTTCTAAAACCTGATTTTCCGTTGATTCAGGTACCCCACGATGGACCAATGTGCGATTTGCTGTGGTCAGACCCGGAGGAAACCCAGGGATGGGGCGTATCACCGAGAGGTGCTGGTTATCTTTTTGGCAGTGACGTCGTAGCTCAATTTAATTCAGCAAACGACATCGACATGATTTGCAGAGCCCACCAACTGGTGATGGAGGGCTACAAATGGCACTTCAATGAGACTGTACTTACCGTGTGGTCAGCCCCCAATTACTGCTACAGATGTGGTAATGTAGCAGCTATTCTAGAATTAAATGAACACCTCCAACGAGACTTCACAATATTTGAGGCCGCGCCACAGGAGAGTCGGGGAATACCTAGTAAAAAGCCTCAAGCTGATTACTTTTTATAATTAAATGATGAGTTAATGTAATTGTAATCGACCAATGGACATTGAGAGGATTAAATATCCAACTTATCTCTGCCACCTCCCCCCATCTTTACATTAAAGTTTTTTCAATATTTTTTCACACTAAATCCTTTCTTTTTCATCTGGATCAATGATTTCTGTGAGAACAATTGACGAGCGTCGATTTACTCTTTAATATACTCCATTTACTCTCAACAATGTATTTATAAACAATTAATTCTCTGTAATAAAAGAAATCCTTCATTTGTAGAATTTCATTTCGATAATTTTTTTTAGATACATATGGAATTATTCTTTCTCGATTATTATTCTGGATAATGTACTCAGCACAAATTTATTGAGCACTTGTATAAAGTCTAAACCCTTTGCAGAGCTTCTAGTTGCTAGAACAAATTTATTTATTGTTAGAGATTATATCTATTTTATTGAACCACACGTCTATCTTGCGAGTTATTAAAAGAATTAATCATTGGCGTGCGATGAGAAAATAATTAGATCGTTGGGATATTATTTTTGTGCTCCTCGTTCTGTTTTATTTCCTCATTTCACGAATATATTTTTAAAAAGTCGCAACAAGGTAGACGTTATATAAACAATTCGGTAGTGGGAGTGATGGAGAGCAGGAGT